TTGAGAAGCTAGAGGGACCAATTAGGGATAATCCAAAGTCTGAAAGCTTAGCATCCCAATTTTCGTTCAGAAGAATATTGTGAGGCTTGACATCGCGGTGAATTATTGCATACTTTGCACCTGTGTGAAGGTAGTGTAATCCACGCGCTACCCCAATGCATATCTCTAGTCTCCGCTTCCATGGGAGGGGATCATCATTCTTAAAAAGATGACCATCCAATCCCCCATGGGTCACATATTCATACACAAGGATCCTCTCATCCTCCTCGTGACAAAACCCGAGGAGAGAGACAAGATTCTGGTGGCGCAGCTGGCAGAGTACCTGTACCTCATTTGGGAACTCTTCAACTCCTTGTTCCACATTTCGGAACTCTTCGTCTACTGATCCTGACGATAGGCCACTCAAGCGTTTGACGGCAACAACCAAGGAGCCTCCATCAATGAAGCCCTTGTACAGTGGGCAAAGACGACCTTCACCGATTTTCAAATCATCATCGAAGTTGTTGGTGGCAGCTTTGAGCTCAGCTAGTGAAAATTGACGACATAGTCCCTTTGGAAGTGCTGAAGGTTTTCTTCCCCTTTCTTCAACTGATGTTTTCTTGAGAAATTTGAAGAAATTTTGAAGAGACATTGAGTCGTGGATTTCTTTTTGATAAATGTAGCAGAGAGGGAGGGCAATTCTGCATCGGATTTGTATTTTATCGGCCTTAATTTCCTTTGATTTCAAAGTTACTGAGTCTGTAATCGCAAACTTTTGTCTTCTACTTACATGAAACATACAAGTAATTTCCAAGTAGGTAGGTCCCTGCTAGTTGTTTTCTTGTTGAAAAGTCAAGGAAATGGAAGTTTCTTGGAGGTTTCTATGTTTCTTCTCTTTTACTATTTGGTATGAAAGCAATTTTCAATGCACATACTAGATGGGAATCCGTGTTGGGTCATCCCAATCCCTCTGATCTACCTACTAGTCTACTACTACTTGTATGTCAATGCTTGCCAGCTTCTTAGAAGATGCCCTCGCAGTCAAAGTAAAAACTGATGGCATTGATATTGGAGGAAATATAATAAAACCTGAAGGTGGAGGGATTCAAGTGCAGTTTGCTTTGTGAAAGATAGGTAATTAATGACTTACATTTCTCCTTGGGCTTTGTGAAATTCATGGAGTTTTTGTTATTTTTGTGAAATTTTGAATGCTTCCTTATTAATTGTTCAGAAAATAAGAGGATTTTCGCTGTTTTGTTAGATTGTACCTGTCTGTCTTCATTTAAGAAGCAAAGGCATATTTCATGGCTGATGCTGTGGTATCCTTTCTTGTGGAGAGGTTGGGTAACCTCCTGATTGAGGAAACCACACTGTTATGGAGTGTAAGGGATCAGGTCCAACAGATGCAAACCGAGCTAAAACGGATACAGTGCTTTCTAAAAGATGCTGACAAGAGGCAAGATGAGGATGCCAGTGTTCGGAATTGGGTTTCAGAGATAAGAGATGCTGCTTATGACATTGAGGATGTTATTGACAGTTTTATGCTTAAATTTGCACCTCGGAATGGAAGAAGAATCCATAATCCCATCACCAAAGGCATAGCACTTCACAACCTTGCTTCAAAAATTGATGAGATTAAATCTCGAATAATTGATCTCACCAGAAGCTTACGAACTTATGGAATAACTGCAAGAAAAGAAGGAGAAGGAACTAGCTTAGCATTTGAGAGGCAGAGGCAGCTCAGGTGGTCTTATTCCCATGTTGTTGAAGAGTATATTGTCGGTTTTGATGAAGATATAAGGCAACTGATAGCACAGCTGGTGAATGAAGAGAAATACAAAGTTGTGTCTATCTGTGGTATGGGTGGTCTGGGAAAGACCACCATGGCAAAAGCTGTTTACCATCATGGTGATATAAGGAGACACTTTGAAGGGTTTGCTTGGGCATATGTGTCGCAGCAGTGCAAAAGAAGAGATATTTGGGAGGGGATTGTGCTGAAACTTATCATTCCATCCAGGGAGGAGAGGGAGGAAATTTTAAGAATGGGAGATGAAGATTTGGCAAAGAAGCTTTTTAAAGTTCAGAAGGAAAAGAAGAGTTTGATTGTTATTGATGATATTTGGAGCACCGAGGCATGGTCTACTCTTAGTGCTGCTTTTCCAAATGAAACTGCTTCTGGTAGCAAAGTACTGCTTACAACACGCAACAAAGAATCGGCTTTGATTGCTGACCAAGAGGGATTTGTTCATGAACCAGACTGTTTGAATGAAGAAAAGAGTTGGGAGTTATTCCAAAGAAAAGCATTTCCAAGGAGAGGCGATTCAGGTAAAAAATTATCATCATATGCTCTATAATCTCCAGGTCTAATTTTGTTTATCTATATTGCAGACTACATAAACTGGAATATGCAATCTAATTTACCAAGATCTTACACTTAGCCCATTGGTTGTAACAGGGCATGGTATTACATGAATTGGATATTAGGAGCCTTAAGCACATATGTCTGTGACAATGAAAATTAAGTTTTTGTGTTGTTGACATGTTCTATATAGATATACGTTTTATGAATCTAAAGGTGTCAATCACAGTGTCATATAGCTCAAAATAAAGTGCTCTTGGTTGTTTAACCTTCTTGAAGCACGCAATCGTAAGGAATGAATGATTACTGGTTGATAATATGCTTTCTGTTTTAAATGTAGAAATAATTATTTTTTTATTATTAAATGTTCCTTTTATTCTTGTAGACTTCGGAATCAACAAAGATAAGGAGAAGGTAGGGAGAGGAATGGTTGGAAGCTGTGCAGGTTTACCACTGGCCATTGTTGTGCTTGGAGGGCTTTTGGCAACAAAAGAAACATTGAGTGAGTGGGACATGGTGAACAGAAATATCAGGTCATATTTGTCCAGAACTAAAGGCCATGAACAAGCAAGATTATCTGAGGTATTGGCGTTAAGTTACCATGAATTGCCTTACCAATTGAAACCATGCTTCCTCTATTTGAGTCAGTTCCCTGAAGATTTTGATATACCAACTAAAAAGTTAGTTCAGCAGTGGGTGGCAGAAGGCTTTGTCTTCCCACAGGATGAGATAGAAGGAGATGAAACAGTGGAAGATGTTGCAGAAGGCTACCTACATAGTTTGATCAACAGGTGTATGGTTCAAGTGGGAGTGAGGGGTTCAATTGGAAAAATCAAAACTTGTCACCTGCTTGACCTTATGCGTGATCTTTGCTTGTTGAAGGCACGACAAGAAAGTTTCATGGACATAATTGACCACTGGTTTGGGAATGAGACCCTCGGTGCTTTTTCATCATCCAATGAAACAAGATCAATCAGAAGAAGTCGCAGGCTTTCGATTCTTTTGAGGGAAGATGTTGATGATCTTACTTTGCCACAATACAAAAAAAAATCCCAACCTGAGGTCCCTCTTCTTCTTCCGTTCAAAAAAACAAAGATTAGATATCGCAAAGATAATGAATTCTGCTGTTGCCAAGTTCAAATTGCTTAAAGTCTTGGATCTTGAAGGAATTAAAGGACCTAAGGTGAAGTTACCAGCAGGTATAGGAACTATGACACAGCTGAGGTTCTTAAGTATAAAGAAAACTCTTATAAGAGAGTTACCATCATCTCTGGTCAATCTGGTGTTGTTGGAAACCCTGAATTTGCAAACCATAAATAAGTTTTCTTGGGAATCAACTGTACAATTGCCAGATGT